CCACTGAACCACCAATGCACGTGGCTCTCCATCTGATTATCGGAAATTTGGAAAAGTAAAGTTTTATTCAACTCGTTAGTGTTAGCCTTGATAAGACAAATTTAGTGTAATCATCTTTTAGGAATGCGTGAACTGTGAACAGATGGTGTTTAAATCACAGACATTGTGAACCAAAGTCAACACTCATGTCAGGTTCCATCACTTCTGTATTTTTTTACACAGATAAATAGATATACTTTATTGATCCCTAGCTAGAAAATTCATTTTTTTTTATTTGAAAAGTTTTACTTAATATGTCCATGTTTTGTTAGCATACGAAATTACTCTTAAAAAGTGTAGAAGAATTGCAGTTGAAAAAACTAACTTGAAAATTATTCCATTCAACTGATTACTGGACTTAAACAGTGCATGAAAATAGTATCAAAACGTATTTGGACCATATTTGAAATAAATCTCCAAATAAAGGCAGTTTGTATTATGACAATGTTACACAAAAGAAAACATGAATTTCTGTATTTCATTTGATTCAAGCCGTGTTACATTGTAATGATTCCAAATGTGTCTTAAAACTGGCACTGAAATATTGGTAGTAAATTTGCCTTTCATCCCCTGCCTGGTGGTGCCATACTCCAGATGCAGCACAACGTCACTGGATCCTCCAAGTCACCAGAGCAAGCCTAAAGTTAAAGTTCACCACACCTTTTATCCTTTCAAACACATCATAATTTTTTTTTTATTTCGAAATTTGTCACAAATGCAAAACATTGGTATCAATAGTTGGGTCAAAGTCAGAGGCCATTCTTCCTGACATGTAGTGTTTTTACAGATAGACGACTTAAGAGTCTTGGCCACGTAACTTTAGACAGAAGTGACAAAATAGTTTTTGGTTCTTGCTAGGGTTGACACGATTTGTTTACTCACCGATACTAAGAGCTCTCTGGAAATAGCACGTGTCTAAGTTAAACCCAAACCGTAGTGGACACCAAGGAGGAAAATGCTTATTTCCTATCAGGTGTGCAGAAAGTGAGCAGAGCTTTGACACCAATAGTGCATTTCAATTGAAAACATCAATTGCCATCAATGTTGGTTAAATAAGTTACTCAGTGAGGTGTAAACTCTTTATCAATCCAGGGCACAGTTAGACTGTGAATAGGTATTAGCATATTAAATGCTGAAGCTCAGAAGGGTTTTCATTAAAGTATGCTTGTCGTAACACAACAAATCTCACAGTCAGTCTCGCTCCTGTTTTTGTCCCTGATAAAAATATCTGAGGAACCACTGTATTTAGTGTAGCGCCTGATATTGATACTGGGATTGGTATCGGAACATTTGAAAGTATGAGGTCGTCACTAAAGCTCACTTTAGTTTGTGCTATTTTAAGTGTTTCACCTTACTATTAGACAGCCATCGGCAACCTTAAATTAGGAAAAAAAAGCTATTTTCTTAACAGCCTTTGAATGGAATGTAAGCACAATATGTGCCCTTATAAAGTCATTTGGAGAAAATATCCCGAACTATCTCTTCGAGATCTGCTGTCATGGCAACGTTACTGTGAAGCACGGCTAAAGACACAGCCTCTTCAAAAGCTCTTTGGCAAAGCCAGGGGGGGAATAAAGTGCAGAGCTGCACCGACAAATGCGATGACGAAAGGAGGAAAAACAAAAAGAAATGCTATCAAAACAATGTGAAGCTTTGGTCTTTTGTACTTGTAATTTTCCACTGATGAGGATCAAAGGAGGTCTCGATTTGATTCGCTATGGGCGTCCATAAGTCTGGTCTCAAGAAGCACTGCGATGCTGAATAATTAAACAAGTAAAATATCAAATATACTGCCTAAAATCTTTTTATGAAGTACATACAGATGCCACACTGCTGATGGAAGGACTAAATTATATTCCCAGGCAGATATATATTTTTTGTATCTGAAGAGTGTGTCGGTTTTTTCTGTTATCTATTATGCATACTCATGCATGTTGTTACGTAGCATGCATCTGGGGGAAACGCCAAGCTTTGAGAGAAGCCCTGAAATAGGACGCAGATGTTTGCCATCCATAATTAAGGAAATGTCTCAAAGAGACATAATGAATGCATGTGTGTTTGAAAGATGACCCTTCGCTATGGTTTATAGATTACAATGTTTTTTTTATTTTTTTTTTATAATTCTTAATGGAATGCTTCACTGTGTGCTATTTTAAGTGTTTTACCTTACTATTAGACAGCCATCTGCAACCTTAAATTAGGAAAAAAAAAGCTATTTTCTTATTAGCCTTTGAATGGAATGTAAGCACAATATGTGGCCTTATAAAGTCATTTGGAGAAAATATCCCGAACTATCTCTTCGAGATCTGCTGTCATGGCAACGTTACTGTGAAGCACGGCTAAAGACACAGCCTCTTCAAAAGCTCTTTGGCAAAGCCAGGGGGGGAATAAAGTGCAGAGCTGCACCGACAAATGCGATGACGAAAGGAGGAAAAACAAAAAGAAATGCTATCAAAACAATGTGAAGCTTTGGTCTTTTGTACTTGTAATTTTCCACTGATGAGGATCAAAGGAGGTCTCGATTTGATTCGCTATGGGCGTCCATAAGTCTGGTCTCAAGAAGCACTGCGATGCTGAATAATTAAACAAGTAAAATATCAAATATACTGCCTAAAATCTTTTTATGAAGTACATACAGATGCCACACTGCTGATGGAAGGACTAAATTATATTCCCAGGCAGATATATATTTTTTGTATCTGAAGAGTGTGTCGGTTTTTTCTGTTATCTATTATGCATACTCATGCATGTTGTTACGTAGCATGCATCTGGGGGAAACGCCAAGCTTTGAGAGAAGCCCTGAAATAGGACGCAGATGTTTGCCATCCATAATTAAGGAAATGTCTCAAAGAGACATAATGAATGCATGTGTGTTTGAAAGATGACCCTTCGCTATGGTTTATAGATTACAATGTTTTTTTTATTTTTTTTTTATAATTCTTAATGGAATGCTTCACTGGGTCTTTGGCTGCATGGACAAGATTTAAAAAGTGAAGGGAGAGGTTAGGGAGGCTTGCTGTCGTACACGATGCATGTGTACATCACAGGGAATTTGTTCAGAGTTTATTTTTGGCAATTCCACTGCAGAGACGTCAGGCAGTGTGCTTTGTGTCATCTTCAAATTTTTTTTTTTTTTTTTTTTTTTTTGAACGCTTCAGAAAACATGGTCTCCATCGCTCTGCTCCCTGGGCTCAGGTCGCTGAGAAAAGAGGAACGACTCCCACACGGCTAAACACTGAAAGAGAGAGAGCAGACCATTGTCACCATCATGATTGCGTGATTTTTGAACATATTCAAAAGTTATGGTTGAGCTTTTTAAAGTGCGGTCTTACAGATGAATTTCTCTACACTGTAGAATGTCTATATTTTAAAAGGCAAACTCAATAACACTGTGACAAAAGAATTGAATATAATTAGAAATAAAACCGCCGGGTACATGTGTTTATTCATACATATATCTATACATACAGTTGAGGTCATAAGTTTACATACACTAAAGATTAAACGATTTAAGACCGCTTTAACAATGTAATGGGAAAAGTCAATGTCAATGGGAAAGTCAAAATAATACAGCCATGACATCAGGGAGCGAATTGTTGCCTTGCAAAAGTCAGGCTTGTCTCTTGGGACCATTTCAAGGCAGCTTGGTGTACCAAGGGCATCTGTTCAGACAATTGTCCACAAATATAAGCAACTTGGGAGAACAGCCGTAATGCCAAGGTCTGGAAGGAAACGGAAATTAACATCCAGAGATGAAAAGCTTTTGGTAAGAAATGTAAAAATGAACCCCAAGATCACCAAGAAAGCCATCTGCAATGAATTGGCTGCCTCAGGAACAAATGTCTCAGTGTCCATGGTGAAGAGAGCTCTCCATCAACATGGGCTAAGAGCCTTCTGGAAGAATGACATGTGGTCGGATGAGACAAAAATTGAACTGTTTGGGCATAATGACCAGCAATACGTTTTCCGGCGAAAGGGTGAAGCCTTTATTCCCAACAACACCACCCCGACGGTCAAGCATGGTGGAGGAAGTCTCATGTTGTGGGGTTGCTTTGCAGCATCAGGAACTGGTGAATTCCAGAAAATCAATGGAATCATGAGAAAAGAGCAATACTTGGAAATATTGGAAGAAAAGCAGCTTGACTTTACATACACACTGCATTTTGACTTCAGACTTGCAATGGGAAAGTCAAAAGAATACAGCCATGACATCAGGGAGAGAACAAATATAAGATGAATAGAATATAAGATTATGACCCGGTTAAAAAAAGCAGTGTTCTGCAAAGAAATATTAATAAATCTCAAATTATGAGGAAGCTTAGCCTTTTCTTTTAATTTCCCAAAAGCATTATTCCTAGGGCATTGTGGATGCCAGTTTATTCATGATTCAAGTGTGTAACTTGAACTTTGCATGAGATTTAATAAAGGAACATGTACTGTATGTAAACTTCTGACCTCGACTGTATGTGTATATGGGTATACGGTATACACATATGCCTACGTATACATATAAACATGTATACAAATATACATGTACATTGACGTATTCATATATACATATATTCTGTATATTTATATATATGCATATGTATGTGTGTGTGTGTGTGTGTGTGTATATAGGCCAGGCGTGGGCATACTTTTTGACTCGCATGCCACAATTGTTCTAAAATTGAACAGGGGGGCTGGGTCAGGAGCAGATAGATGGAGGGTTCGGGTTCCAAATTCTTTTATAATTTTTTACACCATCTACTGGGGAAATGTGGGGGCGTATTGAAAAGGTAGAAGTATTATGATAATTTAATTTAATTATATAATTGGGAAATTTTTTGGCTCGATTAAAAAGCTGAACGGGACGCAATCAAGCACCCGGGCCTTAGTTTGCCCATGCCTACACTAGGCCTTAGTGTGTACATATATATCTTTATACATGTATATACGCACACATGTATATATTATATTATATACATACATAAGTAAATACATATATACATACATAAGTAAATACATGTAGGTACATATGTAGGTGTTACAACATGTAAATAGTTTCCTGAGAGAAGATGAAGAAAAATTAAACCACCTGAACCCTCTCGGGTGGGTTTTGGTTCTGTTAGTTCTACATCTACACCGATACTCCTTAATTTTCAAGGAGTGTCAGTGTTCATTTACTGAAAACTGTAAACTGAAGTTTCTCTCCTAGCACCCACTTCAAGAACCAATGCCATACAGTAAAAATATCACCAGGTAACGAAACGGTAAAACTTCCCCGAAGTTTCCATAGTCTCTCCAGACAAACATACGGCCCACGGGCCAAATCTGGCTCGCTAGGGCGTTCACCTACCTCATTCCGGCAGATATTAGGGGTATCATTTTTGGGTGATGGGTATCGACCATTTCCAAATCCTTGAAAGACTGGTGCAACTCAACATGACTTATTGCACAGTAACCTTTTGTTGTTAGATTTTTGGTTTTGTGACACCACATTCGAAAATAACGGTCCAAACTCCCTGCTCGCGGTCCACTTTTGGTCCACAAAGTTCTCACAACTGGCATAATATTTTAATATTATTAAAATGGTTTAGCTAATATAAAAATTTGAAATGAAAGACTAGCCGTCCACATTATAGTATTAAACACTAATTCCCAGAGGTGTGGACTCGAGTCGCATGACTTGGACTCGAGTCCGACTCGAGTCATCAATTTGATGACTTTAGACTCGACTTGACAAAATGTAAAGAGACTTGCAACTCAACTTTAACATCAATGACTCGTGACGTCACTTGGACTTGAGCCCTATGACTTGACAAGAGTTGATACTTTCTCCAAAACCCAAAGTGATCTGTGTAAATATATTATTATTTGGTTTAAAAGGACTAGAAAGGACTCGAAACAGTTCGGACTTCGGACTTGATTTGACACTTTTCAGTCTTGACTTGGACTCGACTCGGACTTTGCCTGTCTTGACTTGAGACTTGAATCGGACTTGAGTGCAAAGACTTGAGACTTACTTGTGACTTGCAAAGCAATTACTTGGTCCCACCTCTGCTAATTCCAAACTTCTCTTTCTAAAATATGTTTTGTATGGAATTTGATGTGACCCAGCTCTAGAAACATTATGAGTGCCTAAAAATGACAAGTGAAACGTGACGCTGACACGACACTGAGACGTGGAGAAAATGCAGATCTTTGGTCCAGCATCAAAGCCTTAGCCTGACACTTACCTTTTCGTAATACTCCATGTTCTTCTCAGCTGTGGAAATCAAGGCTGATCTGAGGTCGGTCCTTATGTCACTTTTCCAGCGGGGCCAGTCTTCTTTAAGGACATTGTTAGCCTGCTCCAGGCGGTCAGCATGAGCATCCACTTCCTCCTGCAGCTGCCAATTGCGCAACCAAACACAAACATATACATATTTTTAAACATTTCGCAGCATTTACAAGCTACATTGTTACAAAGACCATTTCTGCTGCACACCAAGTCGGAATCTTCTTTTGCCAACATTGCATGCGTAATCTAAGGTTCCGTTCGTATCATGGTTTTGTGGGAACGTTTTTTTTGTAGGGATGCACCCAACATTTGGCCACCAAACATTTTCAGCCGGAAACGACCCTAGAGTGCATTTTCAGTTTTGGGCCAAAATACTTTTATCACCAAAACAACATGGCCGAAACAGGAAGTTATGATGACGCAAACGAAAAACTGTGGCCAGCACATACTTGATCCACGTTATTAAGACCATTACTTGGATGTGGGAATAAAGCAGCGTGCACGAGAAATGAACAAGGCCACGATGGATGCGGATAAGTAGTTTAGAGACAGAGAAGCTCACAACGCAGGAGAAGGAGAGCAGAGTGCAGCAAAAATATTAAAAATTTGATATTAAAAACAATGTTAAATGGCATTTTAGTGTACTGGGTTTTTGGGAAAAAAAACCTGGGACACAAGGAGAGTTTTGTTGTTTGTTGTAAACAGTCTTTACGATTTGTTCTCTGGATTTGTCTTGCAAATAAAAAAGTAAACTATGATTAAAAAGTAATAATTCCAATAATTAAAATCAAACAAATAAACTACCTTTATACACCTTTATTCAATTAAAATATGACAACTGTAACAATGCAATTTCATTTTTCTTTAAGTAAATATATTACTGCGCCCTTCAAATTGGCACGGTAATCCTTGGCGAATAAATATATATAAAACAAATCGCACCATTAAAGAAAAAGGAAGATTGGCTAAAGCCAAATTAGAGCAACACCGCCTCCTTCTGGTGATTACATATACAACATATTCACTATAAAATAGAAATAGTGAGCTGGCAAAGGCAATCTTTAAGAACATGTAAATGTGAGAGAAAAAAAAAATATTTAAGATTTAAGACGTTTTTTTGCTTCATACAGAACAACTTTTTCTGTTGCAAATCAAATAACTGTCCGCAAATAATATTACAACAAAACTGGCTGTAAGTGTGTCCCTGGGAGCCGGGTCAGGAGCAGATAGATGAAGCGTTCGTGTGAACTAAGATGACATGCAAAAGTCATGCCTAAAGGCTAAATTGCTTTCATCATTTTCTACACCATCTATTGGGAAAATGTGGGTATTGCAGGGAAAAGGCAGAAGTATAACCATAATACAAATAAGTTATATCATTTGAAAAAGTTCGGAGGACCCAATTAAAAAGCAGAACGGGCCACATCCGGCACCCAGGCCTTAGTTTGCCCATGCAGGAACTAGACCGTTTTCAAGCAAAACGAAAGTCTTAGGTAACTTAGTGTTATTGGTTCGTGTTTTTAAATTTATATAAAAATAGAATAATAATACATAAAAATAGATAATAAATAATTATAAAATAGAATAATAGTAATCTACTGTATGTAATTTAATAACTGATCAAAGAAAAAACTCCAAAATATTGATTTTGACTTACTGATTTCATTTGTTGTCTCCTGACAATTTTAGGGGTAATTTCTTAAAACTAATCTCATTTATTTTATTTTTTTAAAATACCTCCTTATTTAGGCAACAGACAATATTAGAATGGGAGTGCCAGTGTGAGAGGGCCAACTCCACACTTCACTTTATTGCACCTAATCTCTGAATAATGAATAATTCATTCATCAAAGACAGAAAAAAAAAATAGGATGACAGGGATAAGAATGAGATGAGATGCAGGGCACATTTATACTTACTGCTTCTTTTTCAGCTTTTCTGGAGGCGAGGACCTCGTTTTTGGCTGCAAACTCGGCCTGAATGTTGTCCCTACGTTTCATCACTCCCTAAGACAGACAAAGTAATGGGTACACAATTAACGCCAATTTTATTACTACAGAAGTTTTTCTTTTTTTTTTTTTTTGCATTAGGTCACTTTCATTTACTGATTTGTTCAATCTCCGGAAAACACTAACTTTTCAAGTAAAGAAGAATCTTTCCTTTCTTCTGTGTTTAAAATAAACACTTTGGCCAGTGAACCATATATTTAAATTTCCTCATGTTACATTACTATGGCCGGGGTCAGTTGCCACCATTATTTCATGGAACGCCACATAAGTACTCCATACAGAATAAAAAAAAAAAATCACACAGATATTTTAGAAAAAGTCATTTGTTTTAGAATATAAATACCATAAAAAGTGTGAACAGCAAATAAAAATGGGGTATTAGGCATAGGCATATATGGCATGCTGGACAGAAGTGGGCCAATGCTGTATTTCAATTTAGGGGTGGGGGGCATGAATTCTATACCCTGTTAATCTGGTGTAAAAAATTAT